CTGCTTGGTCGGGTATTCTGTGTTGTTGTTGGCGGAGCTCTTTGCTATACGTCCACCTGATCCGCCATCTTGTTTGTTCCCTCCCATTATTTTTTATTATGATCTCTTGCACATAAATATTTCTTTTGAAAGTTAAGAACTTAACACGTATAACTGCTTCATCTTATATCCTGAGGATTTTATGTTAAAATAATTCTACAGTCTTTTCTATGTGTATGTGTGGTAGTACAACATACATTGGAAAGAATTTGGTAGAGAACGTTTCTGTTGACCAGAGTACCATTGTTTTTATTTTGATATATTCATTTTGATCTTTCCTTTGCATTCATTTACTAATTCTATAAAAAATTATTTCATTTTTTACTTCTTAAATCTTGATAATGTTACTGTATTTTAAGCACACCATTAATATAAAAGTACTTAGTATTTTTTTCCCAAAGGAGATATTTATTCGTTCCATAATTTTTTTTTAGTACTCACTATATGCTTTGTGTTGTTGTAGCAAAGTGCCATCAAGTCAGTTCCGACTTATAGGGACACTGTACAGGGTTTTCAAGGAGCAGCTGGAGGGTTTGAACCTCCGATCTTGCGGTTAGTCCAGTGCTTATCCTGCAGCACCAGGATTACAGATGTAGGATACCATTATTCAGTTAACTAGTCTCTGTCATGGATCATTAAGAGTTTTTTCCAAGGTGTTTCTTCTCTCACACCACACTCAGTTTTTGAAATCAGTTCTCAAGACCTTTTTGAGAAATCCAGCCCTTTCGTGCCACTAGCCATCCTCAACATCACTTCTTGTTTTCTAAGCTGCAATTTTTTCCATCTGCCAAATATAGACCTGTTGAGTTCTGATAAATAAAGTGTATTTTATTTTAAATATAAGAGCTCATTATTTTGGGGATTCCATTAAGTACTATAGTAAACAAGAATAATTAGTACTAGATTTCTTTTTAAATGGGAGTAGCTATACAAGGCCTGCCAAATGCAAATATGATGGTGAAAGTTTGTTATCTACTTCTTTTTCTATTAGCACTTGCATTTCTACTCTTAAGTATGTGAAGAATCATATTGCCTTTTCCCAAGACACAGTCTCTTAGCTGTTTTCTGTTTTAAAACGTCCAGTTTACTTGTAAGCCCTCAGACACCAAGAAATGTCCTGCTCCTCTTTTAGTGTCTCTTTATACTCCCTGTTAGTAATGACCCACTCTCAGCTTTGATATGTTGTGGTTAAGTGCCACTGACTTGGTTCTGACCCATAGTGACCCTGCATAGAGTTTCCAAGTACCAGCTGGTGAGCTTGAAATACTAGCCTTGTGGTTCAAACCAACTTTGCAGACCAGTGCATTAACACAGTGCCACACCAGGACTGCTTTAGCCATTTTATTTCAAGGTCTTCCTTCTCAGTAAAGAGAAGCTGGAAGAGTTTAGTTGGTGGGGGAAGCATTTATTTAACTCATGGGACCTACATGTCATATTTAAAGTATGTTAAGTTGGTATGTTTGCCTGAAGGGGGAAGAAAAAAATACAGAGAATATATTTTGAAGATGTAATGGAACCTTCTCCTTATGTGGTTTATGTTTATTAAAAAAAAAGAATGTTTTGTTTTATATTTTGTAGATATCCCATAAATAAATGGATTAAGCTGGGTACGTTCCATGGTAGAGATGAGAGGAATGTCCAGAGTTTCCCTTTAGATGAACAGATGTATGCAAAATATGTGAAGGTAAAATTTACACATATGGGAAAATGTTCTGTAATGACCGCATTTCTGTCCTTCAGCTCTTTAGAAATCAGATTAAGAGGAAATGTACTAGTATTTTTCATTTAGAAAATAGTTCTTACTTGCATATATTGTTTTATAAGACAAATGTTAATAAGTTCCTTTTCAGTCATTGGAAACCCAGCCCAATTTTTGTTGTTATTTTTGGCTCTTAAGAAATTCTGAGTTGTGAGTCTCAATTTTGTTTTTGTTTGTGAGTCTTTATATAAGATGCCAGTGTGTCTTTTTCTAATTTGAAACCTAGTTAATAAATAATCGCTAAAATCTTTAAAGCAGGTCTGAATGTGATTTTTTGGGTAGATTCAGTTTTAATATTAAATTATTTGGCATTATTATCGTTGGGCTTTTGTCCTTTATACATATGCTGCTGCAACTGCATGCCATCCAAAGGGTTTCCAAAGCTGTAAATCTTTGTGGGAACAGAAAGCCACATCTTTCTCTTGTGGAGTGGCTGACCTTGCAGCTAGCAGCCCAACGAGTAACCCACTATGCTACTGGGGTTCCTTTCTACATATTGTTGTTATTGTTAAGTGCTGTCAAGTCGATTCTGATGTATTGTCAGGTGAAATATTCTGTGTCCAAATAACAGTTTGAAATAAAATAATTATGTAAATGTAAACATTTATATTCCATATTCCTTTGTTTCCTCTATCAATGAATCACTTGGAATTACAGCTCTTGAATTGGATTTAGACAAAATAGAAAAAGTTCTACTCTTCTCCCTTCTTTTTTTAAAAAATATTAGCAACTCTTTATCTTCTTTCTCTGAAGTGTAAGAACTCATAGCCATCTGTCTTCTGGGATTTTACTTTCTGTCTTTTTAAAGCATGTATTAAACTGGCATTTATAAATAGATAAACTTGTAGTATTCCCAGTCTAAGTATAAAAATGTTAAGTTTATTTTTATAATACATTTGGTATTCTCAGTTAATGATTCAACAGTGTTCAGAAAAATGAAGTTATAGTTTCAGTTTTTGAGTACTCAAAATTATTTAATGAACTTTTATAAAGTAGTTTCTATAGTATGAGAAAAAATATTAAAAATTATTTGCCAGGTGAGGATCTGTTGATTAATGTGCTGGAGTGCAAAGTCACTTTGATCCACAAGTTTGGTAGTTCAAGCTCCTCGGGCACCCTATACAGGGTCACTGTGGGTCATTCTCAATGGCACTTAACAAACAGTTGTATTTAATTTTATAATTAAGATAGGTCACATACTACTGAAGAATTCTGGTAATTGTTTCTATATCATCTTCTTTGTTAATTATGAAAGAATGTTTTATCAGTGGCATACAAAATGCCTTGTTAAAAACTCTCTACATTAGTCCTTTTATGCTGTGAAGTTATAGAGCATTGTGGATTTGATTGGTGTTTGTACATTTGAGTCTAAAAAAAAAATATTTACTTCTGATTATCATAGAATTAAATATAATATCCTTTCACTTAGATTTTTCTTATCTACAAAGAACTAAAACCAATCTACAAACTTTTTAATGTGTTACGTTTTAAGTAGATTGATATGGTATATGTCATTCAATTTTGCAGATTAAACTTGAACTAACATTTTGTTAAGTGCCATCAAGTCAGTTCTGACTCATTAGGGACCCTGTATAGGGTTTCTGAGTACCTGATAGGTTTGAACCACTGACCTTGTGGCTCAAACCGATCTTACAGTCCAGTGCCACATGAGGGATACCACCATTAAAAATTCATGCTATCCCTGAAACAATTTGTATACAAAATTGTACAAGTATAAATGTTTCATCTTATGCTAGTTAATTTTTAATCAATACATATCCACTGAGGTAGTCACTACCCATAGCAACCCTGTATAGGGTTTCTGAGTAGCAGCTGGTGAGCTTGAATTGCCAACCTTGTGATTCAAACTGACTTTGCAGTCCAGCGCATTAACCTGCAGTGCCACACCAGGACTCTAAATTCATATATTGTTAATTGCATTAGTGTCTGTTCCAACTCATATCAACCCTATAAATTCAAAGTCAAGAGTAATATATATATATATTATATATGATACGGCACAGTTTATTTCTAGGTGCTGTTAATTGGTTTTAGAATGCATTTATATTTGTCAGATACCTGAAATATTAAAAATGAATTAGAGGTTATTTAACTTAATAGCTTTAATACTCCCACGTCCACTCCCCCCACAAAACAAAACAGAAAACAACTCATTGTCACTGAGTTGATTCTGGCTTATAGTGACTTTATAGGAGTCTTGATGTGGCACTGTAGGATAAGCACTTGACCACAAAATCGGTTTCAACTGCAAGGTCAGTGGTTCAGACTCACCAGCCACTCCTCAGAAACCCTGGATGGGGTTGCTATGAGTCAGAATTGACTTGGCAGTCCTTAACAACAACATAGGACAGCATAGAAGTAGGGTTTCCTTATAGCAGCAGACTGCCACATCTTTCTCCTGAAGTGAGGCTGGAGGGTTCAAATTTTACCAACTATTCAGTTTGCAATTTCATACCACTGTATCACCAGGGCTCCTTCAATAGCTTAAAAGCTAATTTAATTTATTTTAGTACAGTTATTTAGATCTCACCTAATGATAAGGAGCTCGGGTAGCATAATGGTTACGAGTCGGGCTTCTAACCTCAAGGTCAGCAGTTTGAAACTACCAGCCATTTCTGCGGGAGAAAGATGAGGCTTTCTGCTCCCGTAAAGATTTACAGCCTCGGAAACCCTATAGAGGGTCGCTGTTCAGTTGGAACTGACTCCAAAGCACACCAACAGCAGCCAACAACCAATTGTAATGATACACATTTAAGTCTCTGCTTTGTTTTCTCAGACTTAAGAATACTACAATGTTATCTATCACAGTGCATTGCTTTCTGTACTTTAATTGTACAGTATAATTTAAAAATATTTAAAATTGCTTATGGCATGTATCCAAACTTATGAACTGATTTTCTTTTCCTTTCTCTTGCTTCAGATGTTCATCAAGTACATAAAGGTTAGCAACCTTCTCTTTTGCAATATTGAGTAACAAGGCATGACTTATTAATGCATGGCAAGAGAGCAAAACTTTATAAGTATTGCTTCTGGGGAAATGAGGACTCTAGTTTTAGAAGTGTTACAAAATCTGATGTGTAGTCTGAATAATCTCAGGTATAGTATTCTGTTGGCTTTCTATTTCATGTGTTTTTATTCTTTAGGTGGAATTTATATCACATTTTGGATCAGAACATTTTTGTCCATTAAGCCTTATAAGGTAATAAATAACAAAACAATATTTACTTAATGGTTTGAAAAATGTATATGTAAAAGTCCATACTTAAGAAATAATTTTGATTATTATTTAATTGAATACCACAGGAATAAAGCTGTAAAACCATTTTTGATCTTGAATGTGTTTTACAGAAATGTCTAAATTTCTTGTTAAGAAAAAATGGCCTTCATTTGTATGTGTTTAGTTGCTATTTTGCTAAGAAAATAAAATACAGAAATATTTTAGACTGATATAAAAACATGATCATTATATTTTTAAATACATTAAAGATTTATTTTATATTTTAATAGAAGTACTAGATAACTGTATTATAAAGAGCAGTCATTAATTTGGAGTCTAAAAACTAATGTTTTCAAAACATAAGCCAAGTCCTTGTTTTTTATCATCTCATTCAAAAAGGTGAATTCTGTTTTGATTCTAAAATCTTTAATTAAATTATTGTTAATAGGGTATTTGGTACTAGCATGGTGGAGGAATATGAAGAGATTGCCGATTCCCAGTATCAGTCAGAACGTCAAGAACTATTTGATGAAGATTATGGTAAGTATGTCTTTTTGCTTTTAAAAATAGTTCTAATAGTAATGGGTTAGTAGATATCATTAAAAAAGTCAGAGTGATCTCTGTACTGTAATTTATTGTTTTTAATCCTAATATTATTTTTTTTTCTTAAACCTGTCTTTTAATATGATTGTTTACTTTGTAAATTAAGTTGTATTCCAAATTTTTCAATCAGTTATTTGTAACTGGGAAACCCGTTTGTGTAATCATAATGTGTAACATCAGCATTATACGTTATGATTGTATCCTCTTGCCAGGCTTAAAAGCCTTTTAAACTTGTAAAAGTAATTGAAGTAGTAAAATTGAGTCTAAACACCAACCTTTCGCCAAACGTCAAGTTACCATCCCTTGATTTTCCCGGAACTGAAGAACAAGTTTATTGAGGATTGAGCCTTTGAGAAAATTCTGAGCCTGAGATGGTAGGGAATGAGTTTATGACACTCCATGTTAGCTTTATCAGTTCTTTATTTGAAGAAGTCTTAGTTTGATTTTGACTAATCTAAATTTTCCCTACCTAGTTTTCCCATCCGTGTAAAGACATTTGCTCTAGGGGTTGGTAAAATATAATGAAAGGTTAAAAGTTTGGTGAGCAGCAGAATTATTTTCTTTGGTTTACATCTTTTTTGTTAATTGGCTTCTGAATCTCATTTTTTTTGTTGAGTATGTTTTAAATGTGTAATTAATTTAAAAGCCAGCTGACTTTTATGACAGGATATAATTGGAGCTTCTAAAATGATATTAGTGGAGGTAACTCTTAACATAATTACTTTTGTTTTCTCTTTAAACAGATTATCCACTGGATTATAATACTGGGGAGGATAAATCCTCAAAAAATCTTCTGGGTTCTGCTACAAGTGAGTGTTTTATGGTTTTTCTATAATTGCTTTTGGGTAGCCTACTATTAAAGTGTTTTTCTAAGCATTTTCATTGTGACATACATGGACATTTTTATGTACACTTTAGGAGGTTTTCATATCCAATGTTGAATTTTTAGTTGGAATCAGATTTTGAAAAGAATTTCTATGGAAATAACATAGGAAGAGAGGACAGAGAAAGAGGAGAGGAAAAACAAAAGTGTAGTAAAAGAGGGTTTTCTATTCTAATTAAGTGCACTCATTTTTTTGAGGCAAAATCTGCCTTACATAGAAAAGGATTGTAATTTACTTGAGGAAAGAATTATTAAAGACATCCTCGAAATTAACTTGATTGTAATAGTTTGGTGTTTAGACCACATGGGTAGGAGGAGCACCTGGGTCATGTGGTACTCATATGTTGTATAGGAGAGAAATTTGAATGATAGTTTCAAGGATAGTATACATCAGTGAAATCTTAGCAAATGAGGATTGATTTGTTAATTAAAGGTTATGGTTACTTCCTTATTTAATTACAAAATACAAAGACTTCCCCTATCCATAATAATAATGAATCATAATGGTAGTAGGGAGTCCTGGTGTGGTGCCATAGGATAAGCATTGCAGTTCAGATTCACCAGCTGCTCCTGTGAGTTAGAATCGACTTCACAGCACTTAAAACATAACAGTAATGTAGTCTTTAGAAACTAAAGCAATGACTAGCATACTTGTGCTTTAGTTATTTTAACTTAGTATGAAAAGTTAATGGTAATAGTGTAGGTAAAGACCTATCTATGTTCCTTGGAAAGACCCTTTCCAACTGGCACTTTACTTGTACTCTTAAGAGTGTGTATTGTTAAGTGCTGTCTAGTCAGTTTTGACTCATAATGACCCTGTATAGGATTTCTGAGGAGCAGCTGAGTGGGTTTGAACCACCAACCTTGCTGTTAACAGTCCAGTGCTTATCCTACAGTGCCACAACAGGACACCTAAGAGTGTGTATAGGTATCTTAATGTGTTTACATTGTTTTCTTTACATTGAGGAGCAATCCATATTGAGTGCTGTAGCCTTTGTAGGTTTCTTTAAAAAAAAAGTCTTATGTGATGAATTCCTGTTGTTGTTAACTGCTGTTCTGACTTGTGGTCCTTCATACAACAGAATGAAATGTTGTTAGTCCTTTGCCAGCTTCACTATCGTTGGTATGCTCAGGTCCATTGTTGCAGCTATTGTTACTTTGCGCGCCATCCAATTTAGGGGTGCACTGGACAATGGTCTGTTTTGATCCATACAGTTTTCATGGGCTAATGTTTAGAAGTAGGTTTCCAGACTTTTCTTCTTAATCTTTATTAACGTAGAAGGTATGCTGAAACGTGCACACCATGGGCGATCCTGCTGGTGTTTAAAATAGTGGTGGCATAACTTCCAGAAGTATAACAGCATTCAGCCACCACATTACAACAAGCGGAGCAGCACGTGGTGGGATCAACTCCTAGACACTTTTGTATTTCATTGGAGGATATCTCTCTGTTCATAATGACTTCTGACTAATACTATTTTAATTATTTAAACACAGAATGCTCTTTAGAGCCTACTTTTAGGATCTTTGTACTTGGAGGATATGTTTCTTGGTGATATGTCTTTAACCTTCACTTTTTATGGCTTGTGAGAAGAACAGGTCATTTGCATCTCATTGTTCTGGGTATCAAAAGAATTTGTACAGTGAGACAAGTTGGGTGAAGAGTGTCAGCTGAGAGTGAGCATGGACAATTGGGTTTAAAAAGATCTCTTCAAAGTTTCAGAGTGAGAGGCTGTGGGGGCTGAGTGGTGCCCATAAGACTTTGCTGTCATGAAACTGTGCACATGACCTAATACTGTTGCCTTCTTTGCCTGTGATCCTTTTTTTGTATTCTCGGGAGACTCTAGGACTGCCTTTGCCCTAGCTCTACCTCCAAGGTGAAAGATCTTTAAAAAAGAAGAAATAATAGAGTGGAATCAGGCCCAAGAACTGGTCTCTCAGATTAGGACATCAAAAGATTCACTATGTTCATCACCACTTTCTAAATTATGTTAAGATTTACCTACTTTAAACCTAATTAATTTTTTCTTACTTACAGTATTTATATATTCTCTCCAAATAGAGTTCTGTGATATTAACTTTACTAGAAACTGTTTTCCTTTTTTTGCTACTGAGCTATAGGAAGTATATGTCACAGACATGGTCAGAACATACTCTTCACAAGGATGTTCTCTCTCAAAAGAGGAAAATATAAAGCAGGCTGTTTGTCAGTGTTCTTTGAATTTAACAAAATTTTGTCTTGTAGGTAGATGGGATAAGAAGTAGAAGTTTGCCAAATTTTGTTTTGTTAATTGAATGACCCCTGAAATGATATTATAGTTGCTAGCATTAAAATTTAGGTGGCATAGTGGTTAAGGTGTCAAATGCTTATTGAAACGTAGAGCTTCGAGTCCACCCTAATAACCATGGCTTCTTCTTTGCTAATACCACTTTGCCAGGTTAAAGGACAAGGTTGACCTGTAACCCTAGACATTTAAAAATGCCATGTAACAAGCTTTTGTATATAACAAAAATAGTATATTAGCTATAAAAGAGCTCTGGTGGCACAAAGGTTAAGCACTGGGCTGATAACCATCAGGTTGACAGTTTAAACCCACCATTGGCTCCCTAGGAGAAAAGACCTAGTGATCTGTTCCCATAAAAAAATCCAATAGGGCAGTTCTACTGTGTCCAGTATGGTCACTGAATCTGAATGAACTACGGCAACTACTAGCTATAACCTTTACAAGAGTCTAAAAACTCCTACTTGTTTCTCCTAAAACATGTAGTACAACTCCATGCTCAGAACTTGGCTTGTTCCCAGCCTTCTTAATGTGCTAGTTTTCCTCCCTCAGATCCTTTCCTACTTTTACATTTGTCTTCCACTGAAAGTACGATGTGTAAACCCTATGGATCTCTCTCATGAAGAGACAAAGATGTAATAAATACCTATGTAACTCCGATAGATCTTAGTATTTTAGAATGAGAAATACCTAATGCTGAAGAATTAAGTTCTAGTGAAATTTCAGATATTAAACTGGAATGGTATTTCTCATATAGTAATGAATGCGCTATGTAGTGATATCACATTATTGGAAGGAGGAAGCCACCTTGTTCCACACACCAGCTTAATATGGAGTTCTGATCTGTCTGTGGTTCTTATGCATATTTGACTATTTAGGGAGATATGTACCCCTTTTACTAGTCTTCCAAATATGAGTAGAAGATTACAACTTTTAATCATTCCCATGCCCATCCTCACACAGTAATTTACAGACGAATGTGTATCCTTTATAACCTATAAAAATTACTATTTTGACCATATTTTGTAAAACTTTTTGTAGTGAATTGGGTGAAGGTTTACAGACAAGATCATCTCATTCAGCAAACTATACATTTTGTTTCATCTCAATGATTACAATCCCCTCCCTGCAACAACATTTATCTTACTTCTTCTCTGTGGCTCTGCATTTACATCTTATATTTCACAAATGAACAAGGCAAAAATATTTGATGTCCACTTACAAGACAAAAAGATACATATTCATTTAAATGTCCTAAGGACACATTCTGCCAGCCAGTCTCCTGTTCACAGGCACACAGTGTCCACTGTCACTGTTTTTCTAAGTAGGGATCTCATGCTCCACTTTCTTGATAGTCCTGGGATCATCTGTTTCCTTGTAGTTACACATCTTTTACAATTACAGTTGTGACAATCATAATTAATCCTAACAGTTATTCACAATTTAGTCATAAAATCCTACCACTGGTGTTCCCAATCCCCTTTCACCAGATCCATCTGGGAATATTCAGTGGGAATTGTACCTCACTCCCTTATTCTGAAACTAAGCATACCCATGAAAGCTTGTAAGCCAAGCACTTCATGCTTTTATACCTCCCCCTTATTTTTGATAGCCCATGTCTTAAATTTCCATCCCAATCAACCCAGTATGCTGAGGAAGCAAGGCTGTTCCTTGATATGAATAATACTTTCATTCCTGTTAGAATTTTGATGTAGTGCATTCATTGGCAAAAGCCTAGTTCATCAGATTGTAGCAATGTGTATTTATTTGTTCACAGGCTCAAACATCTTTATCTTCCTCTGTTCATGTTCTGGTCAACTAGCCATTCAAGCAGGTCAAATTGGTACTAGCTCCAAGTTTGGGAGTTCACACGTACCTCCCTGTACTTTAGACCAGCTGGCTGGTTCACTCTCAGCACTACCCCTCCACCCCCAGGGGTAAGGTCAGTGCCCATGGGTTCAGGAGTTCACACATCTTCCTGAACTTCAGACCAACCAACCTTTTTTCTTCTCGTTCTTATGCAAGGTCATTGGGTGCCAATGGAACATAGCCCATGTCTTCACTACTCCATTTCCCCCACTTCCACTCACAAGTAGACACAGTTGGTCAGCAGCAAAAGCACTATAGTAGTCACAGGTTTCCTTTGAGTTTTAGTCCTGGAGAGCTGGCTTTTTTACCTTGATGCCTCCCATAGCAAACAGTTTGCTTGATATTCAAACAATAAAACAGTTTGCTTTTTTTCTGCAGTTGACCAATGATTTTTTACAAGTCATGTAAGAAATGATTATGTGTAATGTCACTTTGGCATTAAACATACCACCAGTAAGAAGGACTCCTGGTGTGGCACTGAAGGATAACACTGGACTTAAGAACCACAAGGTCGGGAGTTTAAACCCACCAGTTGCTCCTCGGGAATCCTGCGCAAGGTCGCTATGAGTCTTAATTGACTGGACAACAGTTATTAACAACCCCCGCCAGTAAGAAAGGAGTTCTGGTAGCTTATTGAGTTATGTGATAGGCTGCTAGCCACATGATCAGCAGTTCAATCTACCAGCCATTTCATGGGGAAAAAGATGAGGCTTTCTGCTCTTGTAATAATTTTTCACCTCCAAAATCCTACACAGGGGTTGCTATGAGTCAGAATCGACTCAACAGCACAAAGCAACAACCACTACCACCACCCCTATGTATTAAGGAGCCCTGGTGTTACAGTGGTTAAAGTAATTTACTGTAAACCAAATAGGCAACAGTTTCAACCCACTGCTCTATAGGAGAAATGTATGGCAGTCCTACTCTGTCCTTATAGGATCACTGTGAGTCTCCTTGGCAGTAGGTTTTGGGTTGTTGTTTTATTTGTTTGTTTACCTCTGATAATTACTGGTAAGGAAAAACTTGTTTTATGTCTTTGAACCTTTTTAAAGAAAAAAAGCCTTTTCTATAAAGTACGAATTTTGGGCATACCATTTTTTCCTGTTCTAGTGTAGGCTATATGATGGATTTGACTTGAATTTTGTATTATGCTAATGATAATGTATTAGTAAACGATTTGGGGAAGCTTTATTTAAAAAAAAAAAAAAAGTATATTTAAATTTAAAATGCCTTCTGACCATAAAAATTCTGATTTATGCTTAACACTTTGTGGCTGAAATTTATTTGTATCCTACATTGGATTAAGATTGTTGTTGTTGGAGTAAGGTAGAAAGGTGAAAAAAAGGACAATTTTTTTTTTAAATGTGAAAAACCATTAGGTTTTTTTCTTGACCATCTAATATAAATTTATATGAGGATATTTAGGTGTTTTTTTTTTTTCCTGATTGAATTTTGTTTTAGATGCCATTCTAAATATGGTGAATATTGCTGCTAATATTCTGGGAGCAAAAACTGAAGACCTGACAGAAGGTACCAAATCATGTTATGGGTCTTTAAATAATTGATACTCCAGGGGTCTTTTTAGTGAGGAAAATCATTCATAAGCCCCAAGCATTTTGATTTTTCATTTAAAAATAAAGGCCCCAAAGGAACTTACCTGTCTTCTATTAGTCATTGTTTATTTGAATTGCGGAAGTTCCTTTTTTGCAAAAAGGATAGTGTTTATAAGAAACTCATGGATTTATTTTTAACTCTTTTCCTGCTGAAGAAATTTATTTTCTTATCTCTTCACTGAGGTTTTGATACCGTAATAGTATTTCAGTACATTTTCTAGTAAGGAAAAATAGTCTTGCCATATTAGTTCCAAATTTATATCCAAGTCATTCTCTTTCATCGTGTTTCAGGTATCCAGAAGGCATATAAATCGTGTAAGGTCACAGAAAATTCATAGTTTGTCTGACCTGTTTTAATTATCTGAGAAGTTAAGACAGCATATACAGTCTTTGTAGTTATATACTTCAATATTTTGTTTTCCCTAAAAGAACTTAATTTAAAATAAAGGCTGTATTAGCAAAGATATTTGACTATTTTCTTCTTCTTTGAGAAGCTTACATTACTTCTTTTATTAAAATATTCTCATGGTACAGCTTTATAAAACTGAACTCAACATGGACATTTTTCTTAAAATAGGAAATAAAAGTTTATCTGAGAATGCCACCGACACAGCTGCACCTAAAATGCCTGAATCAACTCCTGTTTCAACTTCTGTTCCATCACCTGAGTAAGTTTTATTGTGATGTAAAATATAGCTCTATTAAAATGGAGATCTAAATATACAAGTACATATACAAGTACAAAAAAAGCTGTATATGATTTGCTTGTGAAGTGATTTTGTCTAGAAAGCTCTGAATTATAAGGTAGACATTCTATTATTCAATCATAAGGCCACTTGGTAACATCATTGAGTTGCATAACATATTACTGGCATAAGAGATATATAATAGGCATCTAAATTTGTGTTACTATCGACTCTATTCCAGATCAAACATTTATTGTTTTAATATTATGTATCACTATTATTATTCACCACAGTGAGTCTTTTCTTTATTGCAAATAATTGACTTGGCTGTGCAGACATAGGATTAAGGAGATGTTTTAAAGCCTGTTACTAAGTTTAAGGTTAAAAGCATTTATTAACTTTCTCTGGTATAACTAGAATGGTGTCAATTTATGTGTTTGACGCACAGAAAATTCTTCCAGTGTTACATTTTTAAAATAGAGTTATCTAGGTCTTTCCCGGATTTTAATTGGAGTACTTGCGTGGGTATTTATGTATATAGGTAATGGATAAAAAGCTAAAGCACTAGACCACAAGGTTGGTGTGAAACACATGGTGAGTGGTTCAAACTCACCAGCTGATCCTTGGAAACCCTATACAGGGTCTCTGAGTCAAAACTTACTCAATGGCACTTAACAACAACTTATCTATAACAGATTAAGTAATGATGTGGATAATTGGGTATAGTTATAGATTTAATTTAAATGGTATTCAATATTGTTCATTCAGTATACCCACTCTAAAACTCAGAAAGCCCTTTAAATTTAGAAGAACTCTACTTAAGAGATTCACTTATTTGAAAATTAGACAGTTCAAGGCAGTGTTAATCCTGAAAGTGGCTGAAGATCTCTTTTGGGTGATTAGAAAAAAACAGAGCATGTGTTATGATACTCAAGAAATCTTAGTACAGTTTTAGTGTTTCTAATTATGTGCAACTGTGATTGCTAAACTTCAATTAGCACATGGTATTTCTGATTTTCCAAAACTAGATGAAATTAATTACATTTATGATATTCAGTGCTGTCAAGTCAGTTCTGACTCATAGCGACTTGTATAGGGTTTCCAAGGAGCAGCTGGTGATGTTTGTGGACATGTACTATATGTCTACATATAATCAATCCATGAAGGAAATGGAAGGAATCTATAATAGGGTGTCAAGTTCAAGTTAGTGTGAAACTCTGACTTATTTTACTTTTCCTAGGTTTGAGGGTCTATTTTTTTCCCCAAGTACAGTTCTGATTAAGATGTCTATGATATCCCCCTCTCATCCTTCAGATGTTGTTACTTTTTATTGTCATAATGTATTCTGTAGGTAAGAGAAGTACCACCTAATAATGTAAGAAATGATAGCACATTCACACACATATTCCTTCAGATGTTTTACTCTTGTTCAATTACTATTTCACTGTCAACAAAACAAGTCTCACATTTAGGTTTTATGTTGTACCTTTCATCATTGTTAATATGTTAGTTTCTGATTAAAGACATTTCCTGGTATTCTTAGTAATTTTTCATAGTAAGAAGATTTGTGTCCAAAGTATTTTTTTGGAGTTAATATTTTTCAAATAGCAACTTTGTGTTATAAGGCTGCACCTAGAAATTAATTATCTTCATCTTGAAAGGAACTATTGGTGTTATAATATAAACACTCTTCCCATTCTTGCTACAGAGCCCAAAGATGGGATTGAATTGGTGTGAGTATTAGTTATAAGCCAAGAATCTGTTTTAAGTGGTTTAACATTTGTGTTTAGAAAATTAGCTTAGAAGATATCAAGATTTTCTTGGTAAGGGGATATGTTTCTTCTCCCTGAAATGAATAATCTAGTGCATGTGCGCATGTGCATATGCTTTATGTTCTGTTGGAGTTTATATTTGAGAAATCTAGTTGTCGTGTGATTGTACCATAGCCAACCACAAAGTACACTCAAAATTCTTTTGAGTCTTGGATTCTAGATCTAGTGCTGAGGCTCAAAGATCTTGGCCAACTAAAATTCTGATCTGTAAAGAGATGGTGAGGGCTGCTCAGATTTGATGAATGTTTGGTCGAGGAAAACATAATATACATTCAGTGATTGGATATTTTCACGTGGGTACAAACCATTTTCAAACAGATTGAAGAAAACTGCAGGTCTCACTCAATAAATAGGGTGGTTCAAAGCCAGTGACTGGTCACTTGATAAATGGTCTCTATTACCATTCTGTATCATTATTTGTATTTATAATAAAAATGTTTTAAAGAGTGAAATGTCATCCAAAAAGTATTTGAGTTTTGTGTGTACTCCAGCTCTCCTTTTACCTTATGTGTTACGTATTTACTTTCCTTAAACATAATTTTAACTTTAGACTGATGTATTTCTAGGTTTGTAACCACTGAAGTACATATACATGAAACCGAGGTATTAACACCAGATACACCAAAGGAGAGTCCTATTGTACAACTAGTTCAAGAGGAAGACGAGGAGGCAAGTCCATCGACAGTTACTCTTCTGGACACTGGTGAACAGGAAGATGAATCTTCAACCTGGTTTGAGTCAGAGACACAAATATTTTGCACAGAATTGACCACAATTTGTTGCATTTCTAGTTTTTCAGAATACATCTATAAATGGTGTTCAATAAGAGTTGCCCTTTATCGGCAACTTGGCAAAACTGCTGTGAGAAAAGAGAAAGATTATCTTGTGTCACTTCAACTACCATTAGTACTTCCCGCAGAAGCAATAGATGGTTCAGTATTGCAACCTCCGCGTGGAGAATTGGATAGTAAGGGTATGGAAAGGGAAGCTGAAACTGTTGTTGTTCCAGATGACTTAAGTAGTATGCATGAAAGTGATTTGATTAATCACACTGTTGATGCAATTGAACTTGAACTGAGCCATCCTCAAACTGTTTCTCAGTCTCTTCTCTTGGATTTTACTCCAGAAATCAAGACATTATCTAAAGTAGAAGCAACGGAGTCTGTTAAACATGAAACAGGTCATACAGCATCACAAGTCATTTCCCAAGAGAGTTCTGTCGAGGTTGATAATGAAACAGAAAAAAAGTCTGAGAGTTCTGGTTCTATAGAGAAGCCACCTGTGATTTATGAAACAAGTAAAGTTAATGAAGTGACAGATAATATTGTTAAAGAAGACATAAACTCCATGCAAATCATCACAAAACCATCTGAAACAACAGTGCCACCTGTTAACCCAGGCATTGTGCCAGATACTGAAGATGGGGAAGCCAAAATGACCATAGCTGACACACCAAAGCAAATTTTGACTTCTGTTATGGATTCGTCTACATTACATGAGGTAAAAGAGGAAGACCAATCCTCAGAGGAGGCTCTTCTGTCTATTCCTGGATCGGGTGGATTACAAAGGACAGCTACAGATTTTTATGCTGAATTGCAAAATTCCACAGATCTAGGATATGCTAATGGAAATCTTGTACATGGATCAAACCAAAAGGAGTCAGTATTTATGAGACTTAATAATCGCATTAAAGCCTTAGAAGTTAACATGTCTCTCAGTGGTCGCTATCTGGAGGAGCTTAGCCAAAGGTAACCTTTATTATGAATTGGCACTATGCACTTTGCACAGTGAGTTAAGTTCATGACTATAGATGGAGAGGATTAAATTATATCATGATATAATGGAAAATACAGTTTTAGCTAGAGAGAACAAGAAAGTTACAATGAATGACTTAAAAATTGTTATTACAAGTTTGAATTGTCTCTACTTGCTTTCTCTTTTCTTCAGTTGTTTAACTTTGTACCATTGTATTATTTTTCAGAAGTTTCATGAGAAAAATTGTATATCAACCTTACAGCCCTAAGTAAAATTGGCCAGATTCAGTGACTAGTTTAGATAAGTGAAGACTAGATTGAATGAAACAGTTGTTTGTGCAGCATTTGCACTCAAGTTCCAGTTTTGACAGTGTGTGCTCTGGACTCATAAGGAAGAGGCAGTACTAGTGTGTTTATGCATGGTTAAAACCCCAGGCACAGTTCTCCATTTGTTAAAAGCACTTATTCTTACTCCATAGATGTCCTTAGAAGTTTTCCATCAACTATTTGCAACCACCTAAGCATCAAGTGTCTAGGGTTCTTAAAACAGCATATTTTACTGTAAATTGAAATGCTACTAATGAGATGTTACTGGAGTGGTCTTTGTAATTCAAAGGAAGTTTCTTCCTAATTCATGCATGCATGCACACTTCATATCTGTTCTTACCTTTGTGCTCACCTTTCATCCCAACTCCATGGGAATCACAGAAAACTTGAGAGAGCATTAAGGTGGGTTGAATTGATGTTGAGCAAGGAAAAACCTCAAGGGACTTCTTTACTATGCCTTTTCAAATTTTCCTGCGTCTCACAGGGCTCAGTAAGAGTCATTGTACCAGAAATAGATTTGTGGCTTATAGCCCCATCAGGAGCATCCTTCCAGTACTAAATGAAAAAAAGTATAAGAAATGAAAGCTAATTTAAATCAATTCATATTCCACAGGTACCGAAAACAAATGGAAGAAATGCAAAAGGCTTTTAATAAAACAATTGTAAAACTGCAGAATACTTCAAGAATAGCAGAGGAACAGGTTGGTTATATTCATGCCTTATTATTATTTTTTTTTTTTGTCTAAATGTCCATTAAATTTTTTTCAGGTAAGAAGGGCAGATAATGATGATTAAAACCTACTTTATGATGTCATGCTTAGAAAGTAATCTATTTTTTAAAATGAAATACTGATGGTGGTGATGATGTGCCATAAAGTGGGTTCCGAAGCAACCCTGTATAGGCTTTTCAAGAGTGTAAATTTTTACAGTAGCAGAACGCCTCATTTTTTTTCTGAGTGTCTGGTGGATTTAAACTGCTGACCTTGCTGTTAGCAGCCCAACTCATAAGCCACTGTGCTACCAGAGTTCTGTCCAGAATAATAGAAATATGATTTTTACCCACAAATAAATTCATTACATAGCAGGGCAAGTTATAAAATGTGATAGTATTATATAATATAGTAGAGGTTCTTTGGGAACTATGTGGGGAACTATGTGGGGAACTATGTGGGCAAGAATGTCTAATTCTGGCTTCTACTATAGAAAGTTTCTTCCCTGGAATATTCTATTATCAGATACCTTAATTTGTTCAGTACTCCATTTGTTTCAGAGAACCATTATCTACATTTTATTATAAGAAATATCAATGCTACTATGTCTGATTTTCTCTCGTGCTATCTAGAGACAATTGCTGTTTAAATCACAGCACATGGTAGAATCTGTGGATCTCTATAGACTGCCTCATCTTTCTCCCATGGATCACCTTGTGGGTTTGACCTGCCCAACATATAACTCATTGCTCTACCAGGCTTCTTTCACTTGTCCCATCACTACTTATTTGCTAGTTTATACTTAGCTCCTTGGAATCCTGGTGTGATAAGCACTGAACTGCTAACCAAAAGGTCAGCATTTCAAATACACCAGCTGTTCCTCAGAAACGATCAACTTTACGTAGGAACAGCAGCTTGGGTCTACTTCTTGGTTTTTATTATGTTCAGTTAGTTAGTCTTTTTGTCATCGTTTTGCACATAATAGCATTGCTTTTTGTCTTGATATTCTGCAAGTCAAGTTTCCTTTCTCACATGCGTTCTTTGTCTTCCCTAGAAGCCTTTTCACTGGTTTTTGTGCTATCCTATATTAATGTTAGAATGAGCATCATTGCTTCCCTAATACGTGATTGGGATTTTGCAGTAATCAATTATGGATTAACTGATACAGTAAAGATGTTTTTTTTAAATGTTTTGTTGTGAATTTTGTGATTGTGATTGTTTACATGGGAGAACATTAGCTTTTCATTCATCCTATTGTATATCGTTTCATTGTGATGGTTACAATCTCCTCCATGCATCGTCAGCCAACCAAAGGTTATACCCTGCAAGCCTGCCCCCCAGTCGTCAGCACACAGCTCCTCTCCCTCTCTGGATCTAGAGTCCTCAGCCACTCCATCTCTGCATGTGCTTGGCGTCACTGTTTCTCTGGGTAGGGTCCCATACACCGTTTTTCTCCTTTGATATCCCCAGGGACCTACGCTCCTGGAATGCAAAGTAAACCACTCCCCTCCTTTTGCTACAAAACATCTATCTTTACATTTCCAACCCTCACAGTCAGTCCTGATAACAATTATTCACTATTGTATCACAAGAGACCTATCCCCATCTCCTGTCATCAACCCCACCCAGACAGATTGGATACTACTCAGTGGAGATTCTACCTTCCCCTGTGCCCTCTGGATCTAGGCTCCCCCTTGAAAGCTTGTAAGCCAGTCACTTCTTGCCTTGTAGCCCTCCCTCCACCCCCCATTTTGGGTAGCCAATGTCTAAGTTGCACATCCTTGTCTACCCTGTGTATTGAGAGGATGGGAATGATCCTTGCTATAAAGATTTGTTCCCTCTTTTGAGCTACTGCATCCATAGGTGTATATCATGTTTATCAAATTGTATCAGATTACTCGTTTTTTCCTGTTCTTTATTCTTCCAGTTGAGTTCTAATCATACAGCCATTGAAGCCAGGTCAAGTGGGTATTATCTCCAAGTGTGGTGGTTCTTGTGCATATGCCCTCTTTTTTTTTCAGCTGGACGCTTCACTCTAGTCCTTGTGGCTATGTCACTGACTCTGGGCCTAAGAGTCCCCAGGTCTTGCCAAACTGCTGACCAACCAGGTCTTCACCCAGGTTCACAAGAGTCTATTAAATGTTGTAGGGCTTAGCTCACAGCTTCATTGTTGTTTTCCCTCACTTTCCCTTATCGGTGGCAAACATGGTTACCAATCAGAGCATATATTCTCTTGAGTCTTAGTCTTGGAAGGGTGTTTGCCCAGAGGGGACCCGACCCCTTGCCTTGATGTTTCCTGGGCGAGCACCTTGCTTGTTCTTGTAGTAGTCAGTCGGACTGCCTATTTTTCCTGTTGGTCTTTCAAGAAGTATCTTGTGTTCCTCTAGCCATTCCAGGCTGGTCTGCTTATCCTTTCAAGTGGAGATTGCCAACCACAGAAGATTCTTTATGGGGTTCAGGATTCACTTATGGTCTTATGCATTGCAGAGGCTCCACAGGAAGCTTCCTTCACTGGGCAAGTTATAGTTTCGGTATTCCAATCAGTCATAGATAGAAGATGGACTTATAAGCTTTTTATGGTGATGTTTCTGGCTATTCCTTTCTTTCCCCCTCAAGTGTCTATTTTACAATGGTATGCCGGGGAAACCAAGATTCAAAAGTCAGCCAAGCATCTTAACATTATTTCCCCCCTTTTACCCATTCAAACCATGTCTCAATCCCTGTATCCCAGAGCCCTCTTTTTCCAAGGTTGTGCATACATCATTAATTACTTCTTTCCCACTTAGTCCATGCAAACGTGTTCTTCCATTCTCCTCCCCCTTCTTGTGTATTGCCCCCTTCTCTAGCAGCCAAACTATCCTGTGTCTATTCCCTACCCTGTACTCCACCTTCCCCTCTGTCCCCTCACCCCACCCCCCACATCCTGGTAACCAGCAAAGAATTTCCCCCCCCCCCACCTTTGATTATGGGTTATTTTTCTTAGTCTTTTACAATAGTGGTCCTATGCAATATTTCTCCTTTTATGACTAATTTCACTCAACATAATGTCCTCAAACTGCATCCATGTTATGCAGTGGCTTACAGCTAGCTTCCTTGTTGTTCTACAAGGTAGCATAATACTCCATTGTGTGTATGTACCACAGTTTGTATATCCATTCTTCAATTGACGGTCACTTAGGCTGTCTCCATCTTTTTGCTATTGTAAATAGTGCTGCTATGAACATATCTACTCGTGTTAGGGCTCGTATTTCTTGTGGGTAAATACCAAGTAGAGGAATTGCTGGATCATAAGGTATTTCTATTTCCAACCTTCTGAGGAAGCGCCATGTTGCTTTCCAGAGTGGCTGGACCCTGTTGCAATCCCAAAAGCAATGCAGGAGCGTCCCAGGCTCTCCACATCCTCGCCACCATTTATTGTCTTCTACTTTTTATCTTTGCTGTTATTGCTGGTGTGAGATGATATCTCATTGTTTTGATTTGGAGTCTTGTTGTGGCGTTGTGGGCTAATGCGTCAGATTGTATAGTCGTTTGAACCGTAAGGTCGGTGGTTTAAGCTCACCAACTGCTCCTTGGAAACCCAATACAGGGTTGCTATGGGTCGGAACTGTCTCAACAGCACTTAACAATAGTGGCTTCTTGGATCAACTATCAACATCACGGAAGCTGCAGTCAAGAAATCAAACGGTGTATTTCATTAGGCAAATCTGCTGCACAAGACCTTTTTAAAGTGTCAAAGAGCAAAAATGTCAGCTTGAGGACTAAGGTGTGCCTGATCCAAGCCATGGATGGTATTTTCAATAACTTCATATATATGTGAAAGCTGGACATTGAATAAGGAATACTGTAGAAAAATTGATGCATTTGAGTTATAGTGTTGGAGGAGAACATTGAAAATGCCATGGGCTTCCGGGCTTCCAAAAGAACCAATAGATCCATTTTGGAAGAAGCGCAGCCAGAGTGCTCCTTGGAGGCCAAGATGGCAAAACTTCATCTCTCATACTTCGGACATATTGTCAGGAAGGATCAGTTGCAGGAGAAGGATATCATGTTTGGTTAGGTGGAGCATCACAGAAAAAGAGGAAGACTCCCAAATGAGATGGATTGGCCAAGTGGCATCATCAACGGACTCAAGTATGGCAACAGTTGTGAGGTTGGCCCAGGATTGGGCAGTGTTTCGTTCTGCATAAAGTCGCTATGAGTCGGTTTCAACTCGATGGCACCTGACAACAACTGCTAGTGAATGTGAAAATTTCTTCATATGTTTGTTAGCTGCCCGGATCTCCTCCTCGGTGAAGTGTGTGTTCAAGTCCTGTGCCCATTTTTTAATTGGGCTATTTGTCCTTTTCTTGTAGAGGTGGTATAGTTTCCTATATATTTTAGAAGTTAGTCCCTTGTTCGTTGTGTCATTGCAAATGATTTTTTCCCATTCTGTGGGTTCCCTTTTTACTCTTTTGGTGAAGTCTTTTGATGCACACAGGCTTTTAACTTTTAATGTGTCCCAATAATCTATTTTGCCTACTTTTGTTTGTGTACTTTTCAAAATGTTTGGTAGTGTGTGTATGCCCTGAATTAGAGCCATCACATTTGTCCCTATTTTTTCATTGATGTCCTTTCATAAATCTGGGATTCACATTTAGGTCTTTAATCCATGCTGAGTTGGTTTCTGTATGAGGTGTGAGATAAAGGTCTTGTTTCAGTCTTTTGCATATCGCTTTCTAGTTCTGCCAACACCATCTGTTGAAGAGACTACTCCATGTGCAATATATTTAGGCACTTTGTTGATATCAGTTGACTGTATGTGGATGGGTTAATTTCTGGGTTCTCACTTCTGTTCCATTGATATATGTATCTTTCATTGTACCAGTACCAAGCTGTTTTGACCATTGTAGCCACGTAATAAATTTTGAAATCAGAAAGTGAGAGTAAAATTTTGAAATCAGGAAGTGAGAGTATTATTATTCTTCTTAAGTAGTGCTTTGCTTAGCCTGGGT